AAGAATGTGCCTCTTAGACAAGTAGATATAAGAGACCAAAGGGGCAGCTTCTGTCCAGAGGTTAGAGGGGAAGGCAGAGAGAGTAAGGCTGGTTGAATGTTCATGGGGAGCCAGGGGCTGACAGGAGGAGTGTGTTGTTGCAAAATGGGGTGAGCAGTTGGGGGTCTCATAACAATGTATGTTAAAAGAAAATATTCTGTATGGGAGACTATCTTGAAATGTAAACTTCATTTAATTACATCAATAAAAAAAAGAAAAAAAGTCTCTGTAAGTTTCAGGGTCTTTTTTTGTTTTAATATTGGGACTGAATTTCTTTGAGTACTATTGTTATTATTTTTGTGTCATTAAAAAATTAAAGTTGTCACTTCTCTTCTCCAGCAGTTCTAGTTTATGATAAGTCACCTAATTTGGGTGTTGTCTTAGTCGTCCAGTGCTGATATAACAGAAATACCACAAGTGGATGGCTTTAACAAAGAGAATTTATTCTCTCACAGTCTAGTAGGCTACAAGTCAAATTCAAGGCATCAGCTCCAGGGGAAGGCTTTCTTTCTCTGTCAGCTCTGGAGGAAGGTAATGCATCAGTCTTCTCTTGGTCTGGGAGCTTCTCTGCACAGGAACCTCAGGTCCAAAGGACGCGCTCTGCTCCTGGCACTGCTTTCTTGGTGGTATGAGGTTCCCATGTGTCTCTGCTCACTTCTTTCTTTTATATCTCAGAATAGATTGGCTTAAGACACTATCCAACCTTGTATACCTCATCAGTATACCTGCTGCTAATCCATCTTATTAGAGCATAGTGACTGAATTTACAACACGTAAGGAAATGACATCAGATTACAAAATGGTACATAATTATACTATATTGGGAATCATGACCCAGCCAAGTTGACAGATATTTTGGGGGGACATAATTAAATTCATGACAGGTGTTCTGCTTGTTTTTCCCTCCCTCTGCTTGCTGGGTCCTGTAGGTGCTGATACTATTTTCCTTCCCTTATGCATGGCTCTGGAGTCCCTAGTTGGTGCAAACAATTAAGCGTGTGGCTATTAACCAAAAGGTTGGTGGTTTGAACCCACCAATAGGTGCCTCTGAAGAAAGGTCTGATGATCTGCTTCTGAAAGGTCACAGCCGTGAAAATGCTACACAGCACAGTTCTACCCTGCAACACATGGGGTCTCCATAAATTGGAATTGACTGGATGGCAACTGGTACTGGTAAGGCACGGCTCTATTCACCTGTGAGATTTAAGCTAAACAGTTGAATGATGGCAAACCCATGTGGAAGCTGCAATCTGTGCTTCTTTGAGCTAATGATGTACCTCCTGGTAAGCCATCAATCCATGCCTATGGAGAGTCCAGTACATATGGTGATGGTCAAGAGGTTCTTTTGGACAACTCTGCACCAAGTACTGACTCAGGGATCCAGGTTCCTCCCATCTAGTGGATCTTTCATCCTTTGGGAACTCCTCATGATTCTCTGTGAGATCCTGCTGGCTGCTGAACTGAGAGAATATGAAGGATTGAATGAGATGTTTTAAGATCCAGGCCAAGAAGTGGTCTATCACTTGCACCCCATTCCGTTGGCCAGAATTAGTCAATAGAGCCACCTACATGCAAGGGAGGCTGGAAATGAAATGGATTGATGAAGCCATGTCACTGCTTCTGCCCACAGGATAAGTTCTCTCCTGGAGCAGAGGGTTCTGATTGCCATTCCAGATCTTGCCATTATAATCCCAACCAAAAGAAGATACAGTCCTACACTGCTTTCTCCTCTCCAGCAGATCCCAGGGCCTGGCACATACCCTTCAGACCCTGTGCCCACCCATTGCCCCAGCTGCAGCTCCACTAAGGATGGGTGGATCATAGTTAATTGGACTAGGGTGGATATGGTGGAGGGCTATGCATTCAGCTAACTATATTCCCAGAGGTTCTATGGTCACCTTTTATAACAGAGTCCTTGAAATCCATCTAGAAAGATTGTGTTGTTGCTGAATAGGGATTTGGTTATTGTTGCTTATTGTGACACAAGAGGGGAGGATTGCTCTACCTTGAAGACAATATTTAGCTCCAATAGCTGTGAAATCAACAATTAAGTGAAGGGAGAAAAGTAGACAACCTTCCAGGCCGCTGGCTTCACACCAAGTGACTCCTTCTTCTTTTCTCGTCTGCCGCCACTGACCAAAAAAAACAATTGCCATCGAGTTGATTCTGACTCATAGTGACTTTATAGGACAGAGCAGAACTGCCCCATAGGGTTTCCAAGGAGTGGCTGGTGGATTCGAACTGCTGACCTTTTGGTTAGCAGTCAAGCTCTTAACCACTGCACCAGTTATTAGTAAACATTAGCACCATAGAAGAGAGACATACTTGCGTGATGGCATGATTGGGACCCTCTCATGTTCATTTCTGTATCACAGATGTCTAGCAGAATGGGGGCCCCAAAAGCAGTTTGTTGAAATACAAATGAATGAATGACTGAAATCTTACTTCACCTGATCTTTCATAACCTAAACTTCCGTACAGAATAGATCCATTTTGTGCCCTACCCTCAGTAGTTCAGTTCCTTGAAGTGTTGAAATTTAATTTAATTCCACAAATGTTTATTGAACATCTACTAGGTGCCAAACACTGTTTTGGACATCAGGAATACATAAATAAACAAAACAGATATGAAAAACTTTCCCCTGTTGAAATTGGTGTTTTATTTTGTGCACTTTTGGCAGAGATTAAGGATAAAATAAATTATATATCCGTGTAGTTAATATAGTAAGCTATACACTGTTGAGAGGGTGACAATTACTATTAAAATAGAGCAGGATAAGGGGCATCAGGAGTAGGTATGGGGGCACAATTGTAATTTAAATAGAGCTAATCAGGATAGGCTTTATTAGGAAGGTGGCTTTTGAGCAAAGTGTCAAAGAAGGGTGAGCTATGAGGATATCTGGAGCAAGAGCATCCTAGGCAGAGGGACCAGCCACTGCAAAGGCACCAAAATGAGAGTGTTTGAGGAGCAGCAAGCAGGAAGGGCGGCTAGAGTGAAATGAATATGGAGGAGAGTATTAAGAAATGAGGTTAGAAAGGCGATGGAGAGCACGATCAGTTAAGAGGCTTCTGTAATAACCCAGACAAGAGGTAATGGTGGCTTGGCTGATGGTAGTAATGGTGACGGTGATGTAAAGTCACCAGATATTGGAAATGTTCTGAAGGCAGAGACAGAGAGATTTCCTGACTTGTTTGAGGGGCAGTGTGAGATAAAGATAGGGATGAAGGCTTTTATTTATTTAACCAACATTTATGTAGTATTTACTATGTGCAGGAACTGTTTTCAGCACTTGACAAATACTAACTCATTTACTTGTGATACCATCCTTAAGGCATATTATTATCCCATTTTCTCAGATGAGAACACTGAAATGCAAAAGAAGTGAGTTAATTTGTCCAAGGTCACATAGCTGGTGTCATATCCAGGACTGAACCCAGGTAGGCTGGCTCCAGAGTCTATAATCTTAACCATCATACTATTCTGCCAGGTGTTGAGAAGGCCTGTTCTAATTAAGCCTCCAGGAACTGGGGACCAAAATTCTGGCACCAGAGAGGGCATTTATCATCTGATCTCCATAAGTCTCCATTTGGTCCGGTATACCACAGTGGAACTGTGGGTTTCCAGAAATGAGTGTCAACTCATAGCTAGTCTTCAGTAATCCCAGAAAAGTTTGGGTATTTCCATTTCTCCGATGCACAGTCATCCTAATAAATGGCTACAGTCCCTTTGGGAAGGGTAGGAGGAAGATTTCTGGTACATACTCACAGCCATGTCACTGGGTCCTTCTTCAAAAGGATCTGTGGCATTTTACCAGGGTTGCTCTATACTTGGGAAAGGAAAAAACTCTGACTTTCAGGAAATTACTGGATACTAATTCTGAGATTTTGGCTTGAGCAAGTGGAAGGACCAATGCTATTGGCTAAGACGGGAAAGACTGCAGGTGGTCCAGTTTTAGATCAGGAGTTCAGTTTTGGACATACTAATTTTGAGATACCTTTTAGCCATCCAAGTGAAGTTGCTGAGTAGATGGTGGGATAAATGAGCCAGAATTCCAGAAGGGAGAGGCCCAGACTGGAGGTATAAATTTGGCAGTTGTCAGCATATAGATGGCATGTAAAGCCATGAGATCACCAAGAGAGACTACATAGAAATGGATGAGTTCCCAGGATCAGGCCCTGGGCTTGGTAGAAAAGATAAATCGGCAAAGGAGGCAGCCTGTGTGTTGTTCTGAATTCCAAGTGAAGAAAGCGTTTCCAAGAAGTGGAATGTGATTAACTATATCAAATGCAGCTGATATGCCACTTGGAATGAGGACTCAGCATTGATCACTGGATTTAGCAATGTGGAGATCATCAATGACCTTGGAAAGCCATTTTGGGGAGTGGTGGGAACAAAAGCCTAATTAGCGTGTGTGTAATAGAATTGAAGGAGGAAATTAGAAACAGTGAATAGTCAAATCTTTCAAGTTTTTCTGTAAAGGAGAACAGAAAAGGGGGAAGTAGAGTTCAGAGAGGGCATTTTTAAGGATGATAAAGATAAAACTATGTTTCAGTGCCACCGGAAATGACCCAATCAACAGAGAGGGAAAACTGATGGCATAGGAGAGAGAAGGGAACATTACTGGAGTAATGTCGTTGAATAGGTTAAAAAACAACAACAACAACAAAATCTGTTGCCGT